TTCCTTAGCGGGGTGGCAGCCCGAGCTCCAGCTCTCCATCAGCACTGCAGCGCTTGGGCCTGCTGCTGGCAAAGGCCATGTGCGAGGCCTGGGTCAGCCTGGAGGATGTTGCGTGTGTGGCTGCAGTGGGGATAGCTGGTTTGGCTGGCCCTGGGAGCTGCTGCTTAGACCTGATGTGTGGGTGGGAGGGCTGGGGTGGGCACAGCCTAGGTCAGGCACGCCTTGCAGAGTCGTGACAAGTGTGAGTAGACCGTGTCTCCACGGTGTCCTCATCCCTGCGGACTGGTTTGGGCTGCATGTGCAGCTTGAGACCCCAAAGGATACATGTGCTCCAAGTAGACATGGTTTCTACCAAGGCTGAGGGTTTGGGGTGTTGTGTGGTTCCTGTAGCTACTCATGGTGTGTGCCCACTTGAGCAGTGAGGTTGATCACTGAAATAACTTGGCATCCGTGGTGCCAGTTTCAATACGTCAGGAACATGTGGAACTAGACAGAGGCAGTCTGTTAAAACTGTGCTGTGGCTGTTTTGCAGTGGTAACTCTTGTCACTATTGGCCTGGTTTGAACTGATGGGGAATTAGAGGCTGTGTGTCTGTTACCGGTTTGAAGTGATCTTTCCCCCAGAGTTTGGATTTTGAATGTGGATGTGGTGTCCAGAAGTCATGAAATACAAATCAGGTGTTGTCATCTGAGTGTTTCTGACATTCCGCTTGTAAATGGATCTGTGTTCACAATAGTTTAATCACAATGGCTTTTACTACTAGGAGCAAGACCTTGTTTTCTGGATGGCAAGGAGGAAGCTATGGTCCAATTTGTCTTTCTGAACTGTTTTTTAGTCCTAATTATTGCTATCTAATATGGTCAATATGTGTTGATCATGATGTGATGACCATGTGAGTGGATGATGTGTTTTATGTGTAGCTTTTTAAGGCAGAGTTTTTATATGCCAATATCAGATTTTGAGTTTGTTTGCTCAACCTTTCCTTGCCACTGTACAGTCAGTAATCAGGAATGCTTTTGCATCTGTTTCTTTTTCCTGCTCCCCTCTCTGTTCCCTGTCTCCAGAATGAATGAAATGAACTTGAGTCCTGTAGGGATGGACCAGCTGACCTCCTCCTCTGTGAGCAATGCCCTGCCAGTCTCAGGAAGTCACTTGGGCTTGGCAGCATCACCCACTCACAACGCCATACCAGCACCAGGTAATGGGGAGGGTCCCACACGAGATATTACAGCTCCTGCTCTGTGTCATAACTGGGCAGCAGTGCCTGCTCTGATAGCATGTCATACTGTAGGTAGTGAAATGATGAAGAGTGGGGGAAGGGGAAACCATAAATCGTTGCTTTTGTGGGCAAAGCAAAAGGCACAAGTGCTTGTCAGGCTTACGCTTTAGTGGGAGACTTGTTTAGTTTTAATGGGATGATTTGCACTTCAGGTAAGTAGTATCAGAATCCTTTTAAATTAGAGCTGTAGCTGAAAATCTTTCTTCATCTATGTCTAATTTCTCTCCGGTGAAAAATCACTTGTAAAGCAAAATTGTTTTCATAGCTCTTCTTTCCAGGGGGCTGCACAGACAGAAGTCCATTACAATTGTCAAATAGAAGCAAGCCCTACGAAATGTACCAAAAGAGATCTAGCCATATGCAGGCATGCCTCTCAGTGCTCTGATAACTGATCCTTTCTTTGATGCCTGGCACCTTACTTGGACAGTGCCATGCTGTATTTCCTTAGGGCTAGAACTCCTGGAGAATTAGTAATCTCTTTGTTAGCTCATGTGTTCATAAATTCAGGGAGTTCTATTGAACTTAAATGGGAATTTTCTCTTGCAGGCTTGCCTGTTGCAATTCCAAACCTGGGCCCCTCCTTGAGTTCCTTGCCCTCTGCTCTGTCTCTGATGCTCCCAATGGGTATTGGGGATCGAGGAGTGATGTGTGGTATACCAGAGAGAAACTACACCCTACCTCCACCACCATACCCTCACCTGGAGAGCAGCTATTTCAGACACATTCTACCTGGTAAGTGCTCTGGTGCTGATGGATGGGAACAGAAAGAGAAACTGTTTTAAGAGCTGTCTGTTTCTGTCCTGAAGCAGGCATAACTGACAGTTTGACAGAGCTGTTGTTTCCCTGAGTTTGTCTGGAGACTGTTGTGTCATTTACACACCTTTGTTCTCAGGTATCTGTTTCTATATTTGTGTATGAAAAGAATTGCAGGGCATTTTCTATTTAAACCTAACCTTTGATTGCTCCTCCTGCTTTGGTTTTAGGATTAACAGAAAACAAAGCATGCCTGGTTTCTGTCTCCAGTGGCTTGTAGTTTGAAGTTGCTTCTTTTGCTTCTATTTTTCTTCTCCTGTAGTCTGAAGCAGTATTTAATATGTGCAGAATGGGTGGTCAGTAGTTCAAAGCTCAAAGAGGGCAAGACATCAGCTGTGGCATTTGGTACTTTCCCACCCATTTAATCCATGACATGGTTTTTCCTCATTTTTCTTCAAGGTGATTTCCAAAGGTGTAACACACTGACTTCTATCTTGATTTCTTTGCTTTGGAGTATAAATGTAGAATTTTACATGTTAGTGTATGAAAACACAGAAATTGGAACTTTACTTGCAGTCCTGGTTTTGTTAGGTAGCTAAGATTGACAGGTTGTAAAACTGTCTTCACGGTGACTCACTGAGTGTTGTTGGTTCAGCCTGGGCTAGGAATAAACTGTAACAGCCAGATCTCTAGCAGCTACCTGTTGACTGATGCCTGAACTTTCCAGCTGCTTAGGAGTAACCTTTCCTACTGCACTGCATGCCTGCCTGTTTAGTAGCCAAAGAATAGACAAGGAGATTGTTCACTAGGACCAAAGGTATTTTCCATTCTTCTGAGCTGGGATAATCTTCCTGTGGTGTTTTGTAGGGTTCTTCTGTCAGTCATCTTGCTGCCATCAAGGATCCTCTGTGTTCAAGCCACAAGGCAGCATTGCATGCAGAAATATTTGATGCAGCTGATTAAATTAAACTGTTCATTTCTTGGCTTGTTGTGCTGCAGAAAGATTTTTTGTGCTTGCATCCTTGTAATAACAAATGTATTTGAATGGAAAACTCCTACGGAACAAGTGGCTCATAGGGTTGAGGGCTAAGAAGAAACATGCTGAATCAGATCTTGCAGAATCTGCAAAATCTGCCTCTGTCTCTGCTGGAAATAATGTTTACTTGAATGTGCTGTTGTATTTCTTCCAAAGCTTTTTTTTTTTTTGTTTTTAGTATGTAAACACAGTTTAGTGTTTCTTCATATCTTAAGTTTCAAGGTTGTTTGATGTTGAGAAGCTTCCCAGAACTACCAGAAAAGATGGTAGGGTTTCTGATTTAAATTCAACCAAACTATTGTTCTAGGAGAAACAACATGCTTTCATGTAAGGAAAGAGAGCAGATGACTCATGAAATCTGTGAGAGAACTTGTCTTTGCCCTTCAGAATTACAATTGATGACCTCTGAGATGGACAGTTACACCACTAAGTCTTAGAGGAAGGAAGTAGTCATTGTTTAAACTTGAATACCTAATCAAAAATTATGTGTCCTACAGAATTGTTTCTGCTTCTAGCATAGATGAACCAGGAATTATCAAATTATGGATTCCACTAGCAGTCCTTTATCCTTTGTGGGCTATTTCTTGGGAATGAAAAATTAAGCCTAAAATGTAAAGAACCTCTTTCTTGTTTGACCTTTGTACTGAGCAGCCTAGGTGGAATCCTGCCATTAACTTGGCTGTTCAGAGTTTGAGAAATAGCTGAAGACTTGCTCTGTTGGATGGAAACTCTGAATTAGTTGTCAAGTGATACTTTGTCAAGAGCATTAGGCTGGCATATGTTTGTGAGCCATGTTTTAGAATTAGTGGATTTTAATTTGAAGTAAAGTAGAGAACATGTCTTCAGGGATCTGGGTCTCAGTGTACTATGCTTTGACTGATTTTTATTCAAGATTGAAAACTGATGTAATCTCACGCCCTTCTTTTTCTCCCTCTCTTCCTATCAGGTATCTTATCTTACTTGGCTGACAGACCACCACCTCAGTACATCCATCCCAACACTATAAATGTTGACAGCAATCCAGCATTGTCAGTCTCCAACAATCCCTCAGCCCTGGATCCCTACCAGCCCAGTGGCACCGTGGGGCTGGAGCCAGGGATTGTCTCCATGGACTCCCGCACAGTGAACACACACGGTCCTCAAAATCTGCATGCTAGTGACAGCCACGAGGTAGCGCTGGATACTACAATCACCATGGAGAGTGTTTCGAGGGTAACCAGCCCCATCTCTACAGATGGGATGACAGAGGAGCTTACAATGGATGACGTAGGCGGGGATCACACGCAGATCCCGAACGGCTCCCGCAGCCACGAACCTTTAGCCGTAGACACAGTGGGGAGTAACTTGACATCAGATGCTGTGGGACACGGCGGTGTCATTCCCATTCACGGTAGCACTTTGGAACTCCCTGTTGTCATGGAGCCCGACCACATTGCTGGGCGGGTGACAGGGATATCGGACAGCACACTAAATGACCCCATTCATACTGTGGCCATGAGCACCAACTCTGTGAGTGTGGCGCTCCCTACCTCACACAACCTCGCTTCCCTGGACTCAGTAGCCTTGCATGAAGTGGGCCTCAGCCTGGAACCCGTGGCAGTGTCTTCCATAAGTCAGGAAGTAGCCATGGGGCCAAGCCATGTCGATGTGTCTGCAGACAATCTTGCCTTTGTACCATCGTCTCTGCAAATGGAAGACTCCAATTCCAACAAGGAGAACATGGCAACCTTGTTTACCATATGTGAGTGGACATTTCCTGCTTTTTTGGGGTAGGGTTTGTCATGTAGCTATTGTCTGGTGTGGCAGGACTCTGGTTATTAGCCTTAAAGATTTATGGTGAAAAAACAGTTATTTAACAAGTCCGAGATTTGAAACATCTGCAGTGCCAGATTAACCGTTGTGAAACAACAGTAGTTGGGAGTAGTAGAAGACATAGTAAGATGTTGTAGCATAATTCTCTTTGTATCCCTTTCCCATGTTGCCATGAGGTTGGAAGCTGAATCTTGATGAAGCTCTTGTTTTGGTGGATATGCTTGATATCCTTTCCAGTGAGACTTCTGTTTTTATGAAGTTACATCACAAGTGACTCTTCTTGCTCCATTAAAAATACACGACACAAGCCATACTTGTCATCAAATGGTTGTAATTGTTGAGTATGACATTACGTGATTTTTCAAAATTTATATTAAACAATGAACAGTCATCATGAAGGTGTTGTTCTAAAGAGGAAAAAAAAGAGCAGAGGGAAGGAACTTTATAATATTTCTAATTATTCTCATCAAAGGACTTTAGTTCAGAGGTTAGTGGATCTCTAGGAAGAGAGGAGCACTGGGTATTGTGTTGCCAGTCCTGTTATCATTCAAGGAGTGGTGTTTGAGAACTGAGAAGCTCTCATTTGCTGGGAGAGAGATTTGAACTTTCACCTGCAGGATGTCTGGCTTCCTGCCACTGAAACATAAGGCCAGCTTTTATATTAATTTTTATTGTATGTGGTAGCATTGCTGCATGCTGCTCTCCATCCAGTCTGGCCCTACAACTGCCAGAACTTAATGGCTTGTTTTGCCTGTGGAACATAAATTTTAAGACATTGAAAGATACAGTGCCTTGGTTAGCGAGGGGAGAGGTGCAGTTTAGTGTAAAGTGTCTAGTCAGTCAGAGATTTGGATTAATTTATTAAGATTTCATTCTGTGGGATAAAATACAACTTCAAATCAGATGGGCATGATGAATTTGCAGCTCCCTGAGGAAGAGTTTTACAGTCAATGCACTCAGAGTTTCCTACAAGCATCTGTTGCATGTAGAACAAATAATGATCCAAATGCTGTGATATCCAACATGCTTAAGGTGAAATCACTTCTCTTACTCTATTAAAGGGAGATTTGATGTGCCAGCTTTTTGGTTGTTATACTGAACATAGTCCTAAGTTGTTTTCCAGATGATGCTCCCCTCTGGAAGGACATTTAAATGGCTGCTGCATGCCTTGTGCTTGCATGTGATTTGCAAAACAGATTCTTGGCTTGGGGAGGTTTAAATTTTAACTTTTTGTTGATGTTTTTAAACTTCACCTGAATAAACAGGAATTTGTGTCAAGACAGGTGACAGCAAGGACAAGGAGTTGTTTTAGAGCCCATTAGTAGTGGTTTTTCCTCCCTGAGGTGGCTGGAGTCATGGCCTTTTTCAGAAAAGCAGGAAACAAAAAGTGTACCTTCGCTACACTCCTGAATGTTTGCAAAACTTTTAAGTGCTTTTTTTTTGGTCATCCTTGTTGACAGTTGTGGGTATCCAAATCAGAGAAGTAATCAGTGTTTTCTTATTTTAATGATTTGGCAAGGACTGTAATGGGAAGTATATTTCACTTTCTGCAGAATGTGAGATTTTTGTTTTTCAACATCTTAAAAATGTATGAATGATTGAATTTCTTCAAGTGAAAATGTCCCATGCCTGTAACTTCTCTGCCTCTGCCTCTTCTTGGAGCTGGTCCACAGGCCCATAGTGGGAGTGTGCCAGGCAATGCTTAAAGGCAGCTATTCCACACAGTGATTCTTGTTACTCAGGTCTGGCAGTTGTTGCTTTACTCCTACATGTCACCTGTGCAGTTGAAGTAATGCTTACATAGGCTCTACCTAATAATTTTTGGAGTACTTTCCTATCAGTTAATGTGTAGTTGCTCAGACTGTAGTTTATATGAGGTCAAATTCTGGTACCATGGTATATCAAGGAAGTATCTGGAAAATATCTTTAAGCATATAAGGATGGAGCTGCTTTTCAGGCCTGCTGAAGGCTACTTCTAAATGCTACTTCTGTGATAAGTCCATTATACTGGGGCTGGATCATCAAGAGGTCTTGTGGGGATCCTGATTAATTACCTGAATACCTTTCTTCTTCAGAAGAATAATTATTTATCAAGTGAGTGGTTGCTGAGTGATTTATCAGGTGTTGGTTGCTCCATCTGCAGAGAATTAAAATGACATCATTTTTCTAGATGAAATTGTAATGCTTTAGAGAGCATTTTATGGTGTACTTTACCTCAGATTTATTAGACTGAAGACTTTCACTGGTTTATTTTCTAACAGTATTTCTGCTGAATGACAGATTGGGAAAGTGATGCTGCCGATTCTTCTGGGGCTTTTGTTTTTGTTGTATTCAGTGGCATACTCACACTGCATGAGTTTATGGCAGTGAGACCTTCAAAAGCAGCAGTGAGGTCAGGTTTTTGCTGCTGTGATTTACGCATGGTCTGAATTTAAATGGAGGTAAGGGGATTTGTGGTTCATGTTCAAAAAATTTTAAAAAGACAGCCTTACTGGTCTATTTGCGTGGATATCCTTGAGGTTCTACATGCAAGAAGTGTTTCAGGTTAATTCCAAAAATGTAACCAGTTAGAAGGTGTTTGGTTTTATTTGTCTTAGATTTTTCTGCCAGTAGAGTTCATTTTACTTGTGTTCAGAGTGAAATTGGCTCTTCCATCATCAGCATTACCACCAGCACTGGAGAGGCTATCATCCATTTTGCATTAGCTTTGATGAAGAGTGGGCTCTCTCTCCCATTGCTAGATTCCCCTGTAGGGATAGTCTGGAGTCTAGGTCATCAATTTACCATCAGGAAGAAGGTAGGTGGAGATCCTCATATTTGATCTGAATTGGATAGAAACTGACATGTATATATTATAATATATATATAATGTAACTGACAGTGTCCACTGGACCGTAAAAACATTGTCCATATTCTTCTGAGTAAAATCTGATAAGTGGACAGGTTGAACGTGGTAGAAGCAGCCTTTGGCAGGAGCTGAGCCAAAGCACGTTGGTAGGGAGCTGACTGCACTGTAGGAGCTGTTGTATGTTTTTCATGCCTGCTGTCCCCTCCTGTCTCTGCAGGGTGCACGCTGTGTGACAAGGCGTATCCGTCAGACTGCCCGGACCACGGGCCCGTCACCTTTGTCCCCGACAGCCCAATCGAGAGCCGAGCCAGGCTGTCCCTCCCGAAGCAGCTGCTCCTCCGGCAGTCTATCATGGGAGCTGAAGCGGGTAAGGATCACATTACTGTGCACTTCCCTGCAGCACTTTAAAATACACTCACTGCCTGAAATCCAAAACCGTAGGGAGATTAATGTGGGAAAGGAACACCGCAAGAGAGAGATGCTTCCCTCTTCTGTAATCACCCTGACTTGCATTATCCAAGTGCTCCTTTTGGTCTGGTTACTGCTTAGACTTCAGCTATACCATAGGGCTGCTGTCACAGTGTGGCACTTCTTAAGGTCAAGCTGAGGTATGGTGTTTATTTTTATCATGCTAAACGGCCCAGGCACAGCTTTGATAAGAAAACAGTACAGCATTGCAGTTTGGGGGAAGATGGCAATTAGAAGTAATAGAGGAGAATTCTGTCTGCTGGTTCATCAGCTTGATTTGCTGCCTTCTGGGTGCTCTTATTAGAGTATTGATCACAAGTCCCTCTGTTTTTTTCCCCTCCCCTTAATTTACATTTGGCATGTAGACTGTGACCTTGTCACTGGATGTGGACCTTGTTACTATATTTCACGTCACTGTCACCTGGAAACCGAAGAGTACAGTGCAGTACCCTAAGGATCTGAAGGCTAGAGAAGAATGTGATTATTGGCTTGCTTAGTGATGCTGCTTGTTGAGAGTAGATGACATCTGTTCTTTTCAAGCTGCACTAGTTACCAGTTTATTCCTAAGAGCTATTCAGTGTATTCATGTAGTCCTATATATATATATATTAATGTTTAATAATAAATAATATACACGCAGGAATCCCTCTGCCCATGACAGAAATACAGCTGCCTCTGGGGAGAAATGCAGAAGCTGCTTAACAATGCCCAGCAACAATTCTGGAAATTCCTGGGGATTAGGTAGGCAAAATGTAGTTACTGAAACTAGTATTTTCTGCTTCTGCAGAAGGTGCCATGAGAACTTTAATTGGCACAAGTGGCTAGGGTATTAGTTTTATAGCTTACTGAAAAAAATAAATTACTTGCTTTTGACCAAATAAATATTTGTAATGACACCAAAGCGGCTCCCATTAGTGTCATGTGGTGGTGGTGGTTCTTGTCTCTGCCATAGGTGTGCTTCACATGTGAAGTAGAAGCTTTGATGATCTTATGCATAGATATTACCTCTATTACCTATTATTTCGTAAGCCTCCCACTTCTTTATTATGCATGATTAGTTGTTTAAATGATTTATTTCTTCAGATTTTGATCTTCTAATGATAGGTGTGTGGACACGAGAGACCATTCCTGTGAGGACTTGTTTCGGACCTTTGATCGGGCAGCAGAGCCACTCCCTGGAGGTGGCTGACTGGACAGACAAAGCAGCCAGTCACATCTGGAAGGTCAGTGCTGTTACAGCTCACAGAGCCTGCCAGCATGCCTTTATCTGGTGAAAGCTACCACGTGACAGAAACTTTAACATTATCATCCTTGCCAAAAGTCAAAAGTAATGCAGTTTAACTGTTTTATTCTTAGTATCATCACAGCAGAGCTGTGTACCTTGCTGGTAGTCAGTCCTGAAGCACAAAAACCTTCTTTAATGCTTTCTCTTTTAAAGGGCTGCGTGGTTTCAGTATATGTGTGGATTTGCAGCAGAGATTGTATATGAATTACTAGGCAGCAGTTGGTTGTTTGTTTTGTATCTCTGTTCATTGAAAGTTCCCCCAGGTGATAAATGATTTGTTTTAGGAAAGCAAATTTGAAGCTTTCTTTTCCCCATCATTTCGTTTTCAGAAAGTAAATCTGACTTATATAAATAAAACATGTACTGTTTGCCCAGATTTTGTTATTCACAAGATTTGGTTTGTAAGAAAAGCAGCCAAATGCATTTCTGCTGGGAAGTAAAGGTGAGAAAGATGCTGATAAACAGGTTTTCTGGCCTCCTGGGTAGCAGAGGTCAAGGTGCCTGTGTGAAGAGGAAGGTAAGGAGTGAAAACAGGGCTGTGGTGTTGGCAGTGGCAATGGAGACTTCCCGGCTTGTTCTAGGTAAACACATCCTCTCTTAATGGAAGAGGTTGGCTTTCACTGCATCTATTGCTGTGTTTTGTCCTAAAGTTGCATTTGTTTTTCCTGGTAGATCTATCACAATGGTGTCCTGGAGTTCTGCATCATCACAACTGATGAAAATGAATGTAACTGGATGATGTTTGTACGCAAAGCCAGGTGAGAGCCACCTGTACTGTGCTAAGTAGCTTTGAGTCTGAGCTGCAGGTTCATAGGAAGCTGTACTGGAGAATGAAGGTTGACCTTCATCCAATTGAAATTGACCTTGATTGTCCTTTTGATTTTAATTCTTTATTAACAAAGTGTCCCTGGGTTCTTTTGGCCAAGTTCCAAGCCCCTAGAGCCTGTGACACCTGTCCTTTTCAGTCTTTCTGGAGTCCCTGATGAAAACTATCCAGGCTGGCCAAAGTATTGCTCCATCCATGGTCCACTGAGAAGGCTGAACCTTTCTTATTTCTCTGTGATACAAAGTAGGTTTCTCCTGAAGTTCATTTCATCACTCTGATATGCAGGAGTCAAGAAGCATAATGCTTGATCTCCCACTGCAGTGGGACAGAGCTTTTGCTGGTTTCATATACTGGGAACAAACATATGCATGATACTGCTTTGAGAGATGAATGACCACATCTTAGAAAGGGTCCTCATGAGGACTTTTTAAAGATAATTTTGCTTTAAAACATTACTGTTATTTCTTCTGTCATGCATTCTCTATCTCTTAAGGGACATATCTATGTAAATGAATCTATGTATATGAAGAATCTATGTGTATAAAAAATACATAGATTTTAGTAGTTTCTTAGGAGATCATAAATTCACTTCTCTCAGCCCACTCGAATGTCTATTAATAATATTCTCAGAAGTGGTGTGAGAAATGCATCATTTGGTGGAGGAGATTGGCTCTCAAGGTCTAGTTTTAATTTCCTTTATTAAAGAAAGACAGAAGTGACATGAAAGTTTTTATTATATGCTGACAAGTGCTGAGGTTTTTACTACCTTTTTGTAGGAATCTTTCCTTTTCTCCTTTTCCTTTCCTTTCTGTATTATTTCAAAATTTTCTCTTCTATTCTTTTCCATTTCTCTTTTCTTCTCTTTTCTTCTTTTCCTCTTGATTTTCCTTTACATTTTCTTCTTTTTCCTATTCAATTTTTCTTTTATTTTTTCTATTTTAGTTTCTTTCCTTTTTCCCTTTTCCTTTTTCTTCTATTTTTCTTTTCTGTTATTTTCTATTTTTTATTTTTCTATTCTGCTCCTATTGTGTTCTACATTTCCTTTTATATTTTTCTTTTTTCTATTTTTTTATTATTTTTTATTTCTTTCCTCTTCTCCTCCTTTCATTTTTTTATTTTTCTTTTCTATTTTATCTTTTATTTTCTTTTCCTTCTCCTTTTTCCTTTCCCTTTCCTTTCCTAATTTTCTTTTCTTTTTTCTTTTTCCTTTTTTCTTTTTCCTTTTTTCCTTTTTCCTTTTTTCTTTTTGTTCTACTTTTCTTCTCTTTTCTTTCCTTTTTTCATTTTCCTTTCCCTTTTCCCGTTTCCCTTTCCCTTTTCTTTTCCTCTTCTATTTTTCTCTTCTATTATTTTCTACATTTTCTCGATTTTTCTTTTCCTTTTCCCTTTCCTTTTGTATTTTTCTTTATTTTCTGATTTTCTTTCATTATTTAAATTATTCTGTTCTGTACTGTTCTACGTTTTCTATTTTTCCCTTTTCCATTTTCTTTCCTTTTTCACTTTTTTTAATGTTTTTCTCTTTTAGTATTTTTACTTCTCTTTTATTTCCTTTTCTTTTTTCTTGTTTATTTTTCCTTTTTTCTTTTCTCTTTTCTCTCTCCCTCTCCATCTCCTCTCCTTTTATTCCTAACTGTTGTTATTGCTGTAGGAACCGGGAAGAGCAGAACCTGGTCGCTTATCCTCATGATGGGAAAATTTACTTCTGCACCTCTCGGGACATCCCCCCTGAACACGAGCTTCTGTTCTATTACAGCCGGGACTATGCACGACAGCTTGGTGAGTAAGAGCTCTTTTGTGTTGGCTTTGCAGGGAGTACCCAGCTTGAATTCCCTTTCAGTACCATCTCTGAGCTCTGTGACTTGGGTATGCATCATGTTCCTTCTCAGTTCCTGTTGGTGCATGCCATCGTTTCTTTTTACATTACATGACTACAGAGTACCATCACTTAAAAGAAACATTTCCCTACTTAATTCCACTGATCAGAAGTAAAAGATCACAGTTTTGAAGAAAAAATCATTTTACTTCTGTTCATCCTGGGCTAAGGGAGTTTTGGAGGTGAGCATGTTCCTGTCCTCCCTCAGCTTGGATTGTGATAGTTCAGATATGGTGGAGCTGTGCTCAAAATTGTTCCACAGTTTGGCCCCTCAAAACATTTCAAATAACCTACCTGAAACAGCTGGAAAGCAGCACCACAGCTGAAAAGAACAAAGGTGAAAATCTCTGCAGCTGGTTTTGCTACCACAGACTAAATGTTAACATGTCCTTGTTCAAGCTCTGTTAGGCCTTACTGTGCCTCATTACAAGTGATGCTTTTGTGCCCAAAGGTGTCCCTGAGCATCCAGACGTGCACGTCTGCCACTGCGGGAAGGAATGCGCTTCCTACGCCGACTTCAAGGCCCATTTGAGCAGCCATATTCACAACCACCTCCCCAGTCAGGGGCACAGCAGCAACCACGGGCCAGGCCACGGCAAGGAAAGGAAGTGGAAGTGCTCCATGTGTCCCCAGGCTTTCATCTCCCCTTCCAAGCTGCACGTGCACTTCATGGGGCACATGGGCATGAAGCCGCACAAGTGCGATTTCTGTAGCAAAGCTTTCAGCGATCCAAGCAACTTACGGACACACCTCAAGATCCACACAGGTGAGGGCTGAGGCCTTTATACAGGTGCCTGTGCGAGGAGAGAGGGTAAAGGTCAAGTTCCAGGCCAGCAGTAGACAGTGTGGGTATTTTTGTCTCTTTTATTTTCAGTATTCCTGATTGGGAAACCACGAAGTTCAAATTACAAAGCTGGAAAAGGAATAAAACTGGGAGTTCAGTGATCTCAAGTCAACCATAGGAAGCTGTAGGTGCAGTAGTCAGGAGTTTTAATGGACTGATCAAGTACTAATGTGGTATACACAATCACAGAATAGTCAGTGGGGTGGGATTCTAGTGGTACTCAAACTTAGTCTGAACTCAGTAGCATGCTGGGGTTTTGAACTATTTCTGACAAAGAATAACAGAAGTACTGATAAGTTGAAAAATGGGATAAAAGAGAAGTTATCAAAGGGCCAGTGAGGTTTGTACCTGTGTGTTTGTTAGATAAGAGAACTTGTTTTTGCAGACAAAGGCAATGCAGTGCATCAAATGTGGTTGAGCTCCAGTAAGGCATCAGATACAATTCCTGTGGGAAATCAGCGAGGATAGGGATGTACTAATGGACTGTAACTAGATGGTTACCATGGTTACTGTTACAAAGGAAGCTACCATTGTTTTTACTGAAGAATTCATCTTGGCTAAGACTAGTCTTTTTAAGTGTTTGCCTGAATCTCTTGGTGGAAAAATGTACAGAGCTGCTGGGGGTGTTTTGATGTCCAGAACCGGGAGACGCAGTTGGTGTGGATAAGAAACACAAACATGAAAGGCTGGCTGACCATGAGCACTGGAGAAACAACAAGCAGCAGTGCTCAGAAGGAGGAAGTGCAGAAAGGTGCATCACACTAGGGCATCAGTGGTTTGAAACAGTATCATGATACTGGATTTTTTGCTTGGGGGCATACAGCACAGGATGAAAAGCTTTGGGAATGATGAAGTCAGCTGCCTGGTTTTTTTTGCATAGCTAAATATAGATGGAACTAAGTAGGCCTTTAAGCTGAGTCTGAAGGAACTGCAGGAGAAAACAAGTCCTGTTCACAAAGACTCTGCCTTTCTTTGTGGTGAAATTAATTTTTCAGCTTGTTTGCTTACTGCATTTCTTGGGACACTGAGTGCCAATCTGTTGGGTGTCCCTGCGTACTCCTAGGTCAGAAGAATTACCGCTGCACCCTCTGTGACAAATCCTTCACGCAGAAGGCTCACCTGGAGTCGCACATGGTCATCCACACTGGGGAGAAGAACCTCAAGTGTGATTACTGTGAGAAGCTCTTCATGCGGAGGCAGGACCTCAAGCAGCATGTCCTCACTCACACACAGTAAGTGACCTCACAGGAGCTGCTGGACTGGCCAGTGCAAGAAATAATAAACAGCCCAGTTTGCAAATAGTTTGGCATAAGGAGCATAGGTGGGTTCAGCCTCTGAAATGACATAGAAGTCACTCAAGACAAAGTCCCTGTTTTACTGGCTGCATTTATGGAGCTCTAGTGTTTGCAGTACTTCAGTGACACAGTAAATTCCAAGCGTGCTCCTTGTGAAATGGCAGTCCAGAGTGCTCATCATTTTTGAGAGAAAGTGGGTTGTTTCATTTACTTTTCATTTTTTGCTGAGAACTGTTTCCACATCCCAAGGTGACCACAAAGGACAAACTTCTCAGTGCTACTGTCACTGAGTACCTTGTAAGTGAACTCTGCATGTTTGCTGTAGGGGTGTGGTGCAGCCATTCCCAGCCCTTTCCTCCCCAGAGGTCTCACTCAAGTGCTTGTTCTCCTGCTCCTCCTGTAGGCAGAGTCCTACCCACAGCCCTCTGCCAGGCCAGGTCTTCTGCTCTGAGAATCTCTCCATCCTGTACTTTTCCTCCCAGTCCAAGGTCCTCCTTAAAAGCTGCTTGCCCAAAGCTAGTCCCTTTGCTTATTTAATTTTCAGCATCTGGTTTTTGTACTCACTTGGAATCCATTGCTGCTTCTGTCATGCTGCCTCGGAGCCAGTGTAGTGCAGCCAGCATGAGTGAGAGGCAGACAGAAACCCAGACTCACTTTGCTGCTCATTCCTACAGCCTGAGCCAGGAGCACTACTTCTGGGAGGAATTTTGCAGTGTCATTACAGAATTTGTTGCAGTCTGGGAAATTCCTCTGCTTAGCATTTACAGACTGAGGGTTGTTAACATGCAGCAGCCTTGTTTCCTTACCTGTTCTTCCCTGCCTCCTCCCCACCCCCCTTTCTGCAGGGTGGGAAGGAAATTGACCTTTTCATCAAGGGCAGTATCTGTCCTTGCTAGAACATGGACCTTAATCAGCTGCCTTGTGACAGGAGCAAACTCACTTTTTTGTGTCTTGCAGAGAACGGCAGATCAAGTGCCCCAAGTGTGACAAACTGTTCCTGAGGACAAATCACCTGAAGAAGCACCTCAATTCACATGAAGGAAAGAGGGACTATGTCTGCGAAAAATGCTCCAAGGCTTATCTGACCAAATATCACCTCACTCGACACTTAAAAATATGTAAAGGCCCCACATCCAGTCTGTCAGCCCCAGAGGAGGAAGAGGAGGAGGATTCAGAGGAGGAATTAATAGACTCCATGAGGACTGAAGACTGTAGGATTAACAATGGAGTCTATTCAACAGGTGATGTGCTCTCTGGACACAAATGAAGAAGAGAGGGAAACTTTCTTGAGTATTAGGGAAGGGAAAAAAACCCCTCTTCCTTCTTTCCTCAGTCACCAGTGTATGTCAGGTGAGGAGTTCTCCTTCTGTTTTTGTCTCCACACTACCACCACTTAATATAATCTGTAGCCAGAACACTGAACAAGACTGGATCGTGCACGTACAAGCGAGGAGTTGCTAAGAAGGAAATGTGAGGCAAGATTTCTGCTAAGAAGGAAATGTGAGGCAAGATTTCTGTCACACACGCTGTGCATACTTCTCCAAATCACTCAGATGCATCCATCCAGTGCCGGGACATGTGACACGCCTCGCATAGCCCTTCGAGCAAAAGAGCCACGAACCAGAAATGTAGCTGAGAGATTGCAAAACTTTTCGGTTAAAAAAAAAAATAAATAAAAAAGGCCAGTGAAATCAGCACTTGCATACAAAGTAATTACCCCACTACAGAAAATGAAACATTGGTATTTGGAGAACAGTTATCTCCCCCTTCTCCCTCACAGTTCACAGCCCATGGAAGCAGATGAAGAGATAAAGACTGTATGGACTCAGTAAGGAAGGGGCTTACAGATGATCAGGCAGTGTTTACAGTATATGTTACCCCTTGTGCTGTAAACCTTTTACCACCTAGAATGATGGGAGGGTTTGCTGCTAATATTATTTATGGAATGAAGATTATTACATTTGGTTGTTTTCTTTTGAAATAATTAAAAATGTGGCTCTTCTCTAATGTTCTCTTTTAATATTTACATATCCTGAAAAAGAATGTTCCTATTTCTGATAATGATGCTAAGAGAAGTAACACCATTTTTTGATCATCTGCCTCTCCCAAGCTTTCCTGGGACATGGTACATGTAGGAGCACCGCCATGAACTGGGGCAGCTAAAGAACTCTAGATTTGCTGTGTCACTCCTCTGGCTGTGCTGCAAAAGAAGATTCAGCTGTGCTGTGTTCTCTGACAAGGTAATGGAAGGTGCCCTTGGGAAAGAGGCTCTGCTTCTGGCCCTAAATGGTCCAAGCTTAGCTATACCTCTCCCTGTACACTGTAGTTCCTAGAGAGCTCCCAGGGTTCATGAGACCTGAAAACGCTTGCCTCAGATCAGTGTGTGATCAAAAAGCTCCAGAGAGACAGGTGCTGGGATCTTGGTAAGTCCAAGGAAAGATGTTTTGCTTCCAGTAATGCAATTTCTTCCAAAAACAAAAGCAACTTTGACAGCTACAGTGCCAATTATATTACTAGGGGTAGAGGTAAGATAAATCACTTACCCTCAAAGATCTTAACACAAAGCATTTATTAAAAATTAAAGCTTTGAAACAGTTCAAAGTTTTCAATGGAGAGGAGTTGAATGGAGGTGGTTCTGGTACTTGCACTTTAAGCTTCACAAAAGCATTGTTCATTTGTCATCCACACATGATTCACTACTGCTTGGCAGAGACAGGATGGAGGCAGGAATCCTAACAGATCCAGAGTATTCTTCATTCCTGCAGAGCCATGCTGAACACCTTCATCAGACTAGAAACAGCTGAAGTAGCTTCAGAAGCGCCCAATTACCCTCTAGGGATAGGAAAGAAAGTTACAGACTTGCCTTTACCCCATCTGCAGTTTAACAGAGACACAATTTATCTGCTTTACCTCACGAGAATGAACTACAGAGAGGGAGGGTGGAAAGCAATGGGCAGAGATTGGCAGCTATGACTATGATCCTACAGCTGCTTTGGCAGCAGTGGATTTAATACCCAAGGCATTTTTGCAGCAAGAACACTACAGGAACCTTCGGTGTGAGCAGAGGGGAAGTGCTCAATGGAGGGTAAAAGCATCAATTAAATTCCTGAGGTAAAGCAGGTGGGTGTTACATTATAAATGCAAGGAAATTCTTTGAGTCACACCCCTTGATTAGGCTCCTGATTCTGCAGCCAAGGGGCTTAAGTTGGTGCTTAAACTGATACTTAAACTTTTCTCAGTTTGGTGTCAGGCAGAAATGCCTGGGCAGAGTTAAGAGTATAACACAGAAAACTTTTCACCAGTAACAGTGACCAGCTGGGATCCCAACTCTCGCTTTTTGTCCTGACAGCCTCTCATCCTCCTTGAATAGCAAATTCTCTTGAAATACATCTGGAGTGTGAAGAAAAACCCAATACTATGTGCAACACCACTAAACTTCATGTTCTGTGGAACCTGGAAAAAAAACAACCCAGTCTTGGTGGGATAGAGCTGGGTTATTTCTGGTTCGATACTGGTGATATCAGTGTTAAAAATACATTCCAGGATTCTGCTTGGAGACTCCAACTTATTGCATAAGAACTACTAAAATTTAAAAAGTTACATGGAAGATATTTTAAAATCTGTAAACCTAGTCTCAAATTAAGGATAAATTATCTATTTACACTTGTAATTTAATTCAATTAATCTGTTTATTTATTACACAACTGTTGTGTGAAATACTTTTCCTTATGCCCTTAGAAGGTAGAAGATAAAACTGTCTTTGCAGAATTCAACAAACTTCTGTAGTCACAGAATGCTTTTCTAGTGACTGTTCCATTTTATATATCAGCTATATATAGCCCCTATTTCAGGGATCACTATCTCAGGTTAAAGTGAGTGATTCAGTCTTTCTGAGCTGGTAACAGAGGCAGGAGCTTAGAGCTTAACCACACCACCACCTTTCTTTGAGATGAAGCAGCCTGCAGATTGCAAGACACCGGTCGTTTCCATGAACTCTCACCGAACAGGGGCATTTGTAGAATACACATTAGTTGTAGTCAATATAATTACTTTGACTTTTTATCTTTGGTCCATCACAATTCCATTGCTGTCTCCAAATCATTGCTGCTACTGCTGGCCGTGGAGCTGGAAGCCACAGAGTTGGCACTAGCCAGGATGAGCCTCTCTCTGTTTCCAAAAACTTCATTCACTGCAACACAAACAGGAATTGCTTACATGTTGAGAGATGACTACAGCAGGGACAGCCTGGTGAGCACCATGGAATGGAAATCCTAACCTGCTGTGGTTTCAAAGCTCTTCCCCTGAAGCTAAAGGTCAGAACAATTGCCTACATATGATACTTCAATTACAAGTCCTGTTATTTTTCCTCCAGAGCATCTAGAGGTTTCTTCTGCATAATTCCTGTACCTAAGTACAGTAAAACTGATGAGGTTTGAAAAGCACATCATTAAGTTTAAATAATTTATTTCTGGTTTTAGTCTCTGGTTCCCAGAAGGCTCTTAAAAGCCTCTCCAAAAAAATCATGCCGTTTAGTTACATGTAGCTACAACTGATCAAAACCAGTACTCACTTTTCTTCCCATAAGTACTCAAGAAATGTAATACCAAATCACATCAGGAAAAAACCAAAACATAGGTATTAAAAGAAATAAGGTATTACATTTCAGCTGCAAGAACATAAATTGTGTCAAGCAGTTCTCCAGTTTAGAAAAAACCCCACATTTTTGGAAGCTGAAAACGTGACCACACATGCAGTCCTGGAGTATTTAAAAACCTATGGTTTTCTGTCAGGGTCACAATACATTACTGAATATAAATATAACCTGCAAGCAAGGGGAGAACCACCACATTCAAAGAAATGAGAACGTTACCTGCAGAGATCTTGCTTATATCCCAAACACGCAGCCCTTCCCGCTCTCCTCCAAAGGCAAAGACAAACGGGAAGTCAGGGCAGCAAGCTGCACAGAACAGAACTCCCTGGCAGAGTGGGAGAGAAAGAAGAGAATTTTCTTTTATCTTAAAATTAATTTGTCATCTGAAAACACTTTCATCAAGCAAGTTTTAACAAATGTAGTTAAAAGTTTCTGAAACTTGTTTTGTAAAGACATAAAACAAAAGTCAAGAGCTGCTAATTATAAACGGTTAATCACATATTTCTCTTGAATGTAGCAGATGCAAGCTCAAGCTCCCATAGTTCTACTCAGAAGATTGTATCTGGAATTTGGGTCTGAGGCTGTGAAGCAGTCTGCCAATTCCATGTGGAATACTGCACTGTGATGAGAATGATTTACCCAGAATATGTTACTATTTTTTTCCCTATGAAACCTTGGGTAAAACAAGATTCAAACTAGACAGAAAAAGAATAAGTAGACATAGTTTATATATAAAACTTATTAGAATCAATAAATAAATATTACTGTACCATTTTCATATCCCTGGAATGGACTAAACTTGGTCTGTCTCCCAGGATATCCCAAATTTTCACATATTTGTCAGCAGATGATGTCACAAGGCACCCTTTGATCTGACTGCTTAGTTGTAGCCCTGGAAGATGAAGAGTGCAGCAGTGTGAGAGCAACAGGCAATCCCCATTTCACAGAGATAAAGATACATTTTGAAGTGAAGACATGAGAACAACCCCAATATTCTCCTCACACTAAACTCCATTCCAGAACAAAGGAGCAGAACATTAATGGAAGTTCCATGCTGCCATCGGTCCCTGGAGTGAGAGCCAAGGGAATCATGCAAGCTAATTTTGCCTCCCAATCCCCTCAGCAAAGATTTGTTTCATGTGCCAGCTACCATGATTAGCACACACAACTTAGCTGTTAAACAAGGAATTACTACCACCTCAGTGCTATGGATTAAAGGCAGCTTCTACATGTGCCTTGCCTGCTTGGGACAAAAGGACACAAAAGGACACACAGACAATTTACCTGACACCTCTTCATCGTGAGCTTTCAGAGTAAACAGGGGCTTATCAGCTCGAGCATCCAGACAATACACAAAGCCATCGTCTGTGCTTGCCTAAGGAAACCACAGCATTTAAAAAACAAACAGTCACAGTCACTCATCTGGGAAAAAAAACCAGTTAAATCCCCACCTCTGATCTGAGACAGACACAGCTTCTTCCCAGAACATGTTACACTGTTCCCAGGCCTGCACCCCCAAAACCAGGCTCCACCCATCTGGTGCCCCAGCTGTTCCATGATCCTCAGTTACGCTGTACTGATGACATGGAAGTCTTAATCCCATGCAAATGTCTTAAAGTGTATTTTGAAGAGTTTCCCCACTAAGTTTGGCCCTCAGGGCAGGCAATGAAATGCAGAGCCTTCAGTCCTTTCTTGACTGTCATCTCAAGGCTTTTGGAGCCATCAGCCCTGTACAAAACTAAGTGTGATTACACCAGGAGAGATCCACATCATAAACCAAACAGAGCTGAGCAGCCACTTCTGTCGGCTATGTACACAAAGCAACAGAGAACTAGACAGCCACCGAGATAATAGGGAAGATTTGTTTTTAAGTTCTGTTGCAAATTTTTGTTATAAAAAAACTCAACAACATCAAGGTATTTTTCCTTTATACTCTAGGTGACTGTTGGTCTCTTCTCCCAGGTAATAAGCAACAGAACAACAGAAGAT